TGGTTGTTGTTGTTGTTGTTTTAGACAGTTGATGGCCTCTTCTACCAATGTTCATTAACACCTTCTCTGCTACTTACAGTCTTAGAGAATTTTCTAGGGCCCTGAGAGTTTAAGTGACTTGCCCAGGGTCATGCAGATAGTAAGTGTCAAGTATCTGGTGTGAGGTCAGATTAGAACTTGGGTCCTCCTGACTCCATTTCCTTATCCAGCTCATTTTACAGATGAAGAAACTGAAGCAAACAGAGTTAAGTGACTTGCCCAGGGTCAGACAGCTAGTGTCTGAGGCCAGATTTGAACTCAAGAAGATGATTCTTCCTGACTGCAGAGCCAGCATTCTATCCACTGAGCCACCTAGCTGCCCCCAAAATCAGTAAATTCTGTCTCTGTCTCTGTCTCCATCTCCGTCTCTGTCTCTCTGTCTCTGTCTCTCTCTGTGTCTCTCTCTCATTGGTCCTCTTTGAGAATGAAGGCCCAGCAACAACTATAGCGATAAGACTGGTGGTGCCCCTGAAACTGCCCGCACTAAAACTTTAACCGACTTCAGGGGAGAGTGTCTGTCCACTACATCTGCTGTTATGATAATGCTAACAATAAAATTACACAGGAAATACTCTATTCTTAAAATAGTAGTTATTAATCTAATTTTTATTCTTTTATTATTATTACATTCAGTTTTAGGACAGAATAACAAAGTTAATAAGTGGAGCTGGGATACATGTTGAAAAAGAGGCAGTAGTCAGTGGTAGTAATTGACAAACCTGATCAATTGATTCACTTATTCATTCATTCATTGAACCACCATGTAATAAGCAGCAACAGTATGCCAAACACCTTGCTCTAACCATCTCATTTCCTCTTTTTGGCTAGTTGCAAGTACTACTAATAGGAAGGCTCCATGACTCAAACCATTTGTGGTCAGAAATGCCTTTGTGATTAGAGGTCTAGGTACCCAGCTTCCAGGCTCTGACATTCCCCTAAGTACAGGGTGTCTCTTGACTGGAGGACCATCATCTCTCCTCTTGAGACAGTAATTGGCATTTGGCCTTATCTCTACTCTCTATGTGGTGAGATTGAAAGAAACCATTTTACAAAAGAGTAACCCTCAGCTCCCACCTGTTTTCCTCTGCTCTATGACTTGTTAACTTCTCTAGGCTAAAACAGGTCACAAATGGGGCCCAAATCTTTGAACTGGTAGTGCTCCACAAGCACAAGGTTGCATCATTGCCTTATTTTTAACTTTAACTTATATATTAAAAAATTTCTAAAAGCTTTTCTGTGTGTTTTCTTGGTAAGTTCTTTGTAATAGTAATAAAGGTTATTGGTAGAACTAAATTCAAGAACTAAAATAAATGTAGACTATCTTCCTTCTCTAGGGACATGCAAATTGAATTGACTAGGCTATGAACAAAATTTATTGCAGAATCCAGAGTTGATGCAGAGGAAGCATATGAAAAGTCTCCACTCTCTTATTTGATTTTTCCAATTATACTCCTGTTGAGCTTCTGGGTGAGACCTCAGAAAATTGCAGTACACTCTGATTTATATCAAAGATACAACCTTCCTGCCCTTATATTTATCTTTAGCACCAGTTCTATATTCTGATTGTTCCTGAGGAACATGGCATGATTTCCCTCTGTTCAAGGTTAGCTTGCATTGTTTACAGGTCTCAGCTTGGAGACTGGATCCTATTCCCAATCTCATTTACTGTGATTTTTGGCAAATCATTTATGTTAAATGACTCATTTTCCTTACCCACTCTGCTTTCATCATCATCATCGTCATCATCATCCATCCATCCATCCATCAATAAACAAACATTTACTGAGCACCTACTATGTGCCAGGCACTGATGATACAAAGGCAGAAATGAAGTACTCCTTGCCCTCAAGAAACTTACATTCTATCAGGGGAGACAACATGTGTACTATATACATATATGAGTATATACAAGCTACAGATGTGCCAGACCCTAAACTCCAAATAAATAAGATCTGCCCTTTGGAAGCTTATACTCTGCAACAAGTTATATTATACTGATACTAATATCTAGTTACTGAACATATACTAAGTATAGTAAAAATTAAATGACTTTATTCAGAAAAGCAAAAAAAAAAAAAGTCACACATTTGGGAAGGTACTTCTTCAGGCATCCTGAGAAGAGTACCAAAGTGTACCTGGCGCCCCTGAGTTGAAATGTGGTGAGTCAGGCATTTTCCTAGCAAGATGGAAACATTAAAGCTTCTCAGCCAAAGACCCATAAATTCGTGCTTGGAGTGCAATCCCTCTTCACCCTCATGTCCACTCCTCAGAATTCTCAGCTTCCTTCAAAGGGTAGATCAGGTACCACCTCTTTCGTAAGACATTTTTCTGGAAACCCCCCCCCCCCCACTGTCCTCTCATACTTAATCTTCTCTGTCTCATTGAATTGCTCTGTAGTAATTAAAATTAAATTGATTTTAAAATTAATATATTAATTACTTAAAATTATTTTATTAATTTTAAAATAATAAATTAAAATTAATTAAAATTTTAAAAATCTGTTTACATTATGAATCTCCGAAATAGAAGGTCAAAGGCTTTTGTTTTTGTTTTTGTGTCTTTGTATTCCCAGTACTTAGCTCAGTAGCTTGAGTATAGTGAATGTGGAATAAGTGGTGCTTTTTTTGTTTCATTTTTAGAGTGAATTGATTTCTGATATTAATGATAAGAAAACTGTGATCAAGAATCATCTTTCCTCCTGAAATTGTCAATTGTGCTCTTATTGGGGGCAGCTAGGTGCCACAATAGAGTGTTGGAGTCAAGTTCACCTGAGTTTAAATGTTGCCTCACGTGCTTACCAGCTTTGTGACACTGTTCAAATCATTTACCTTCTCTCAGCTTCATTTTCCTCATCTGTAAAATGAGGATAATAATAGTACCTATTGTTAATGTGCTTGCAAACAAACTATATAGTATAGTAATGTGCTTGCAAACATACAATATATTATAGTGTACTATTTTGTAAATACCACCTATTATTATTAGCATCAAAATTCAGCTTAATTCAAAACTTTTTAGCATATCATCTTGGCTCTCAAATTCTCTATTTAACCTCATAGGAGAAATTCAGAGACCTATTAGATGCTTTTCCCAGAGCATATTACTTATGTTCTCTCGAGAGTGAATGAACAGGTCTTGTTCTGATTGGTACAGAAAACATTTATGACTCTTGGCCAGCAATCCTCATTTGTTGAGTCTTTAGATTTGTCACTGTTTGGGAGGATGGCAACAAAGGGGAGAATGTCTAGAGTGAGAATATCCCCTTTGGAGCTCTTGGCATCCATAGCAGTCTGTTTCTCTCCTCCATTATCTCAGCCTAGCCATTCGCTTCCCAATCCTGGCTTGTACGCTTTGTTAACTCCATTTCAAAACCAATTTTCTTTGGCTCATTTACCTAAACTGGACATAGATTAATGGCCTAACAAGTGAAGACCCAAGCACATGTCTCTCCAGGAGTTTTCAGCTTACTGATTAAGCTTCTTTTGCATCTGGAATGCTGGTATATTCCAAGATGGATGTCAAAGCACAAGAAGTCTCAAAGAGAGAGTAGCTCACTTCCTAATAAAATCATACCCTAAACCCTGCATTTTTTTTTTAAATGCTTTATACAGGTAGACAGCAACAGCACTTAGGAACTCAGGAATGACGTTTTCTTACTGAGTGAAAAAAGCCCAATCTAACAGATACATTGCCTGGAGAAGGCAGGGGAAAAAAAGACAAACAAACTAAAAACTGTTCTCTTCCCCAATAAATTTTTGAAGAGTGGTGAGACTTGATAACCATAGTTTCCTTTCTCATTGCCCTTAGATGGGAAATATGCCACCATCAATTTCATTCCCTGCATTACTGATGGAAATGAGCATTTCCCTTCCCAACTCAATAGGATAGCAGTGGAAATTCCCAGAAATCTTAAGCAGTTGATTTACCTGCAGGCTAGTCTTTCATCCAGGGAGCCTATAATAGAAATTTAGGTATAGATATAGAATTATAGATATAAATATATGTTTAACTATATAATTTCTATGTACATATATATTATATATAACATGTATATGTATGTGCACATATATTCCTATGGAACTTTACAGTTTGCCAAGAACTTTAACATTTTCAGTGTTTGCAAACAGTTTAGCTGTCATCCCCAATTTTTAGGTGACAAAACAATCAGGATCATAGGGCTGGTAAATGACAGAGTTGAGACCAGAGACGGTTCTCTCTGCTGATTTTTTGTTCTGTCGACTGCATCATGCTTATGACCAACTTTCTTGGGTCCTTCAAGAAAATCATTTTGACTTGCAGAACACTAGGAAGATGGGCAGCTTCATTCCCTTTTGCCTGTGTGAAGAAGGGCCTCATGGTCCTTGGTGATTTCTGGAATAAAGGCCCCCGGGCTGCCAACAAAACTCTTCGTACTGCCCAAACCAGTTTAAAATGTAATTCAGAAATGTTTAATAAAATAAATAGAAATAAAGTACAACATAGAAAATGTTAATTTGTGGTTTTCTGTGGTTAGCAGGGATCTATTCTATTTGAGAACAATTGTTCTGATGTCTATCATTGATTTTATTTATTTAGGTGCTTAACTTGAAATCTGTCTTGGAGACCATAAGGCCATATAGGGAATTACTGGTAGAATCACGACCTAAAGACATACAGAGAGTCTTACTATTATAGTAAGGGCTCCTAACTTCTAACCTATAGACCTTTCTCTTCTATTATGTATCCCTCCATGTTTTGGACAGAATATTGTAAAGCCCTGCTTTTAAAGGTTCCTTGTAGTATTATAGGGACGTACTCATGAAAAATTGGAATGTATATTATCTATTAAGTATCATAGAGATTTGCCTCCAAAGTAATGGAGCTGAGGAGTTGGGGGTGGGGGTAGACTTTAAGGTGTTGATATCATGTCTTTGTCTTGTTTTTCAAATCAAAATAGTTAAGATTTCACTTCTCTTTTCTAGGTCTACAACTCAAACAAAGACATTCAGAGTGAAGGAAGTAAGTACGGCATGTTTGGAAGTTTTTTGTGGCTTGGGATTGGGATGGCTATTGATACAGTGGTTGCTACTCCTGATATGGACACCAGGAGGGGCAGTGAGCATGCCAAATTTTGCTCTGACGCATTTTTAGAGTATTGAATGTTTTTCTCTCCTCCTTTCCTGCTAGCAATATCAGAGAAGCAGTGGGAAACATACTGAAAGGGTCCACTCACCACTTAACATCTCTTAATCCATTAATACATAGCTCCCCAAGAGACCTAGCCCATGTTTGAAGTCCAAACTCGCTGCTTCTCCTGCATGGCCTTACTCACAAGATCAGAAGAAATGATAATCCACTTAATTGCATAATGATTCTCCCCCCCCTTTTTTTAAAGTAGGGAGAAGGAAGTATGGAGATAGAGAATTATGTTATAATATATTGATATAAATCTTGAAAGTTCCTTCAGACTAGTTCGTAATCTCCTTCTACTTCTATCCCCTGGCTAAACAAAATTTCAAAGAACACTGAAATCCATTTAAAGATAACAGGTTCAGTATAACCATACCGAAACTTCTATGGGTTAGGTGTCTAGACTCCCAACTCTGAAGCAACTGTCCCAGATTTCACAGGTGGGGCTTTAAAATTTTGTTTTCATTCACATAAAAATTCCTTTTAGGTAGGAGGATTTCCAAGAAACATCCTCCTTTCCTCATTAAAAAAAAAAAAAGAAAAGAAACAAAACAAAACCTTCCCATCCCCAAAACTCAAACAAACCTGAGAATGCCCTCCCTACCAAAAAACTTTAAATATATAATTTCCATGAATTCAGCCTGTCTGGAAAGCTAGCAGAGTAGTGCTCTTTCTTACTGATAAATAATGGAAAAGTCTTAGCTATTCTTTTTTGACAGCCCTGTGTGTGTGGCACAGAGCTCCCTGCATTTTTACCCTCACAGAACGTCAGGTTGAGTAAATAACTATATGGATAATACTGATCAGTAAACATGCTTCCTCAAATCTTTTTAGGATGTAGGTCAGGTATATGAACTATAATCTTAAAAACTGGGTGAACACCTCTAGATTTGGTTATATAATTTGCCCAAAAATTTCCTGTGCACCTTTTCTTCCTCTCAAGGTTCAGGACCATTGCTGCTAACTGCCAGTGACAACCTGCTGGAGGTGTGGTTAAGCTCTGATAGGGGAGGGACCTTATTTCCATCTTAGTATTGGTAGGGATGGAGATGCAATAGAAATAGGCAGAAAGAATATGGACGTGGGGTAAGGAAGGTAAAATATTTGAATAGATAAGGTAAATCATTCATACAAACTAGAATGCACTGATTCTGTAATAAATAAGGCATTGGAGAAAAATTGGAATAGCTATGAATAGATGTCATTAACCAGAAAATCTGTGCCTATGATTTTCTGCCACCTTTCCTAAATCTGGAGAAAGTACATTATAATAATAGCTACCAATCATATGGTGCTTTAAGATTTTCAAAGCACTTTACATGTATTATCTCATTTGAACCTCACAACAACCCTCTAGAGGTAGAATTCCTGTCAGGCCCATTCCCCTGGGCATCTCATTTTCTGATAATGTGTGCACTTTCTTCAAGTATCTGAGACCTGCTTTGATGTGGGAGTATGGGCGAATCATTTGTTGCAGTTTTCTGCTCTATAAAATGGCAACAGTAATTCCTGTCCTACCTGGTGAATAGGATTACTCTGGGGAAAGGAATGTGTGTACTTAAAAGTGCTATATAAATATGAATTATTATTATCATTACTATGTCTCATTTAGGCTATTTATCATCTCTTAGTTATAAATCCTTTGCTGGATCAAGGAGTCGGGGAGATAAGGGAGCAGTATTTTAAAAAAAAAGTCCCATTCACTTCCAACAATCACAAATGAAAATTATTTCCAGTAACTTAGACTTTTTACTATTAAACAATTATTGCTTTTGAATGTGATTTACATACATTCTGGCTAAGCCAAAGAACCTTTCATCTTATTTCTCATAGGTAGTTTCTCTCCCCTTTACACCCTCGCCACCTATTATAATCAGAACTCTCAGAGGTAAGATGTCTGTGACATTTACTGCCTCTTCTGAGATTCTTGTAAGTTTTTTCTACTTCTGAAATTCCAAGAAAGGAAGCAGCAGGGATCTGAGTCCACATGTTTTATTGCAGATTTCTGTGTTTTTGTTGTTGTTGTTCAGTGGTACAGTCGTGTCTGACTCTTCATGACCCTGTCGATGGATTTGCTTAGCAAGAATACTGGAATGGTTTGCCATTTCCTTCTCCAGTGCATTAAGGCAATCAGAGGTTAAGTGACTTGCCCAGGGTCACATAGCTAGCAAGTGTTTAAGGCTATATTTGAACTAAGGTCCTGACTCCAGGCCTAGTGCTCTGTCCACTGAGCCAAGTAGTTGCCGCTCTCAGTCTTTCAAGAAAAAGCACCTAGATGTATATCCTCAAATTTTTCCAATCTTCATTGGGAGTTATCTTCCCTGGCACAAAGTATATTGGAAGTGGAGGGGGGGAGAGAGAGAAAGAGTAAAATGGTGTCATAAATGGAGTCTATTGAGTGTTTATGCCAACTGCCAATAAGATAATGGCACCAAATAATTATATCCACAATCTAAGGAGAACATCTCCCCCCGCCCCATAATCCAAAAGATTCAAAATTGCATTTGCCATTCTATTGCATTTGCCACTACTGTCCTGCTTTCACCAAAAAATCTTTTGCCAAGAGGACCAGTTTATCCCAGGAAGAGTATCTGGAAAGCAGAACTTTTTCTCGGTGATCTGTCTTCTTCCTTTCCATTTCCTCCTAAATTCTTCTTTTTCTTATCTAATTCCTCTTCCAATCTCAATAAATCAAGTAAAGTCAACAAGCATTTATTAGGCACCTACTATGTGCCAGGTATGTTGCTAATTGGTAACAATAAAAAAAAGGCAAAAACAATCTTGGTAGTCAGGGAACTCACAATCTAATGAGGGAGGTTTAAGCCGCTGGAGGTCAGGGCTTGCATTTTGCTGTCTTTTGTATCCTCAGTGTTTAACACAACATTTGGTACATAGTAGGCACTCAGTAAATATTTATTGACTGACTGGGACCTACATACATACATACAAACACACACACACACACACAAACACACACTATAGTAAATTAGAGATAATTTCAGAGGATAGGGAATCTGGAATGATGTTTTGCAGGAGAGAGGAAGAAAGGTATGATTTCTACTCCCACCTCCCCCAAATCTACATCTTTCAAAGGAAAAAAAAAGACTTTGCCTTCTAGTCACCTAGCCATCTGGTAGCTTCTGAGAAGTACAAGGCTGGACTTTGGTTAAGAATCCTTGCATTCACACTGTCTTATTTTGTTATCTTATTCCATCATACCTTTAAGCTTGCCTTTCCAAGTTTTCTCAGATAGATACCTGTGTGAGGATTAGGCTCATTGTTTTTTGTTATTGTTGTTGTTGTTGTTTGGTTTGTTTTTGTTTTTAAAATAGTGTGTTGAAAAAAATAGAAAGCAGAGAAGAGTCAGGCCACGAGCCTGCTGTTTCCCTTTAAGACCATGTGAGGAACAGTCATAAGGCTATAAAAGTTTTTAGAGAGGATAGGATTAATTTAGAAGAATTAAGAAAGGACAGACTCTCATAGCCTGAGGTAGAGTTCTTTCTAAGGCTTGGATTTAATCAACATAAATAAATGTCACAGCCTTCTTACCTATTAAAGTTTAGTCTGTTTACAGAAAAGAGTGTCACAAACAGTTGCTGTCCTGTGGATTATCCTGCCTTGGGGATATATATCCCTTAGTTCCAACCTCACAGCTTCCCTTTCTTCAATGCAAGTATTGACTAGAATTCTGTAGCCTTAGCCTATTCCAGTCCAAAAAACTTGCCCAGATTGCCCCAGGCCTGCCTCCTTATTCACTCAGAGGCCAAGCTCAACCATGTCCATCAAAAATAGATACTTTGTAATATTGCTTTGCTTCTGTTACCTTGTTTACTCTTCCTCCATTTATCCCCTACTTGGACCTTTTCAGAGATAAAGGTATAATTATCTTTCCTTTTGTAGGTCTTAAGCTGTTAAAATACTTTTAGGGAATGTATGTCACTGTACCATGTGAAGGGTACGAATAGAGAAGCATATCATAGTAAATAGCTTCTTTAGAAGACAGGAAGAAGAGGGCAGCTAGGTGGTGCAGTGGATAGAGCACTGGCCCTAGAGTCAAAAGGACCTGATTTCAAATCCAACCTCAGACACATGACACTCACTAGCTGTGTGACTCTGGGCAAGTCACTTAACCCCATTACCTCATCAAAAAAAAAAAAAAAAGAAGAAGAAGAAGAAGGCAGGAAGACCTGGGTTCAAATCACGTCTCTGACTTATAATGGCTCTGTGAGTGTCCTAGGCAGCTCTCTAAAAAAAGGGTTAAGTTGGAGAGTACATGCCAGCCTTCATTGGTAGAGGCAGCTACTTCTGTACCAATTTCCTGATACCAGTGAAATCACAGGCCTAATCAAAAACTGACCACAAACAAAATGGGGTATACAAGAAGAACCTCCCACTTTTGCCCTTATGTAGTTTACAATCAAATTATGATACAGACAATAAAGCTGGAGTAGGCAGGCAGAAGAAATGGTGCTATTGATCAAGACACTTTAGGCGTACCATCTATACACATGTTGACATGCAGGAGAATGTGAAAGTTTGTTTAATTTGAATATGAGTCCAAGAATGATAATCATTCTCTACACAGGGATGAAAATATAGCAAGACTTCTCACTTAGCAGCTGAAAATGTGACTTCATCCATCTCTTCCATTTTTAATACCTCCTTTCTCTGTGCCAATTTTCATTTTAGATAGAAATTCTAGCATAAGAATTTGTTGTATTTGAAGAATTCTGAGAAGTTCATTGGGCTTTGTCAGTATATACCTTAGTAACACTCTAATGAGGATGCAAAAACTGAGAAAGGAGAAGTGATCTGCCCTGATCTGGACC